CAGACAGAGAGCGAGAGGTGTGGGCATGCGCCACCTTCAGGCTTGAACACAGCAGCAGATAACATCTGCAGACCCTTCCTTCGCGATCGAATAACCGCGACTGTCATGCCATCCCTCAGGCGCTGCGATGGGAATCTCCTTCGTCGCCGGCTTCGCAATCGTCGGCGAGTACTTCCACAAGTGGCGCCATCTTGCGTTTGCCGTGACGTCGGTCGGCGTCGGGGTGGCGCCACTGCTGCTCGCGCCGCTGCAGCAGTTGCTCATCAACGCGTACACGTGGCGCGGCGCGATGCTAGTCAGCGCCGGACTCCTGCTTAACGGATGCGTCGTCGGCGCTGTGATGCGAGACCCGCCCCACGCCGCCGCGCCGTCGTCGTCGTCGCCGCCTCCGCGCGGCGTCGCGGCGAGCGTCTGCGACATGGAGCTGTTCCGCGACCCGTGCTTCTACCTGCTGTGCCTGTGTAACTTCCTGCACGGCTTCGGCAACAGTCCCGTGCTCGTGCTATTCTGCGACCACCTCGCGACGCAGGGCTACGGCGCCAACGACGTCGCGTGGCTGTTCAGCCTCTGGGGCGTGATGAACACGATCGGGCGGCCGCTCGCAGGCGCCGTCTGCCAGCTGAAGTCGCTGCGCAACAGCAGCGTTTACTTGTTCTACGCGGCCGTGATGCTGTCGGGCGGCTTTGCACTGCTCATCGGCAGCACGGGTCAGTCGCACGCGTTCTACGTCGCCAGCATCTGCGGCTACGGCTTCTTCTTCGGTGCGACGTTCGGAAACTGGGGCAACGTTATGCTGGACCTGTTCGGCCAGTCGAAGCTCGTCGCGGTCACGGGATGGTCTCTTGTCTCGATGGGCACATCGTACTTCATCGGCGCGCCCGTGGGAGGTAAGCACACGTCCACGCAGCTGATCGGAGCGGCCACCGTTAGCTGTGGTTCGGTATATGCACGGCTTGTGGTAGTTCTAACTATGTAGCCCTTCCCTTCGTGTGACATCATTGTGGCAACATGGTTAGGGCATATTTAGGTGAAGGGCTACATAGGTGGAGTGAGGCTTGTAAGTGCCTACATATTGGTGGGAACATGTTAGTGAACACATGCCCACAACTGCTATGTGTAGCAAATACCAATTTTCACCCACTTGCTACTGACCTATTCACCTACCTATCTACCTACCTACCTATACCTACGTACCTACCTAGCTACCTACCTACCCACCTACTCATTTACCTACCTACCCACCCACCCACTCGGCCACCCACCCACGTACCTACCCATTCAGTACAGTTCGTAGTGCAGTACAACTACAAGTCAACAGTCGCCTGCGCCCATGCTATGTGTGCTATTTACTAATATATTGCTGCGGGGAATGGAAGTAGCTGCGCGAATCGCCTTCACCAACATTTTCTACCCATGTACGCGTATTTGTGGCACCGGAACTAACAACCAGCTGTTACGCTTGCGTGGTCGTCGCTTGAAGGCCACACGGCCATACCATCAATGTAAGCCCCACTGTAAGCCTGCAGTAGGCTGCCATACGTATTTACCAGGAGCGTATAATGACAAATTTTGTCAAATTTTGTCATTTTGACAAATTTGTCATTATACGCTCCTGGTATTTACGTACATGCGATATTTTACGTTAAAAACACGGGCTGCTCTTGTCCTGCGCGCAAGTGAAGCGATTCATCATCCTGTGGTAATTCCCAGTTTGCATTCCCCTGTTCCCTCCATTGAACCTTCAGAGTTGTAATCTCGGGGCAGGGCGATGAGGGCGACTGACCACCTAGATTTTTTTTGGTAATGTGCAAAATGTGCAAATGTGTCGACTGAGTGTATATATACCCTAACCACTCTAAACTAAATGTAGTAAATAATCGAACGAAAGTATATATTGCTTAGCCTTATCTTACTTTAGTTGATTACCTGAAACATAAAATATTATACTAAACGCGGTATTCCTATACATAGATGTACCACCCACAGGCACTTGAAGCGTTTCAATAAAATATATACGCAGGGGTTGTGTGCTGTGCATGGCGACAGTTAAATATATAGCTATATATAGCTATATATAGCTATATATTTAACTGTCGCCGTGCACAGCACACGACCCCTGCGTATATATTTTATTGAAACGCTTCAAGTGCCTGTGGTACCACCTAGACATAGATGTAACACCTATGTCAGACTATGTCTTCCCTCCCCTTGTTTATGCTCTTCAGGGAGTTAAAGAAACGCAGCTATAACAAACTACTATAATCCAACCCTGCTATTGTGAGAGGAATGCACGTCTAGTTTGCACCATATCTCTCTTTAGGCCATCTCGCTGATCTGCAAGGCACTTTCTCCGTCGCTTTTTACATGGGCGGAGCTGTCACGGTCGCAGCTGGTCTCACCATGGTGTTTGTGCCGATTCTACTGACAGATAAAATCAGGCCACACACAAAACAGCAAATGTTCACGAAACGATATCTGAACGAGAGGTAAGTGTGTTCGGGGTGAAACAGATATAGGTGGTGAACAACAGTAGAGAGCGTCCATAGGCGGCAGGCCTGCATGAATAAGCATCGAACAGAAATTAATTAAAAATACTCACACTGTTACTGCGCTTACACAACATACACTTTATTCATGTTAAATAACTACAGATTCATGCTCTATATATGCTCCGCTCGAAACTTTTGCCCGCTCTATGATGCGAATTTCTGCAAAGTTGTCTGAACACATTTCGAACACAAAAATGACCAACCGGTCGCTGTGGCTACGCAACATGACGGAATGTCACGAATACACAACAAGACCAATTTTACTTCTAATGCTTTCTAGACGTCCACGAGGCATCTAACTTACTTGCATAATGCAAATTATTGTACTCTAGTGCCGAATTTCGGCGAAAAAAAAAAGCCAAAAAAGGCCTTTTCTAGAGACGAAATAGTGCAACGGTGAACAATTTGCGGAGGCTTACTGTTGTATGCCTCCTATAGTGGGTGGCAGTGAACAGCAGTACAACAGGCGACTGCATTCACTTACACAGTTCAGCAATTCTGAAATCCATTCTGCAGGTGTGCGTGCGTGCGTGTGCGTGTGCGTGCGTGCGTGCGTGCGTGCGTGTGCGTGTGCGTGCGTGCGTGCGTGCGTAGCACGTAGGTGATGCACGGACAACGCCATGTGAATCCATTTATTCGTATGGCTGTGTAAATGTGATTGTAATGTAGTGAACCGTGCCCAACTGATTCACTATCATGACGTCGAGCCGTGGGATATGTATCAAGAGTCCATAATAGAGTATGGACATATAGAGGTAATAGAGTAATCTCTGTTATGGATTCTTGATATGTATCGGACCATGTGACGTACCTGATGCCCACGTCACGATGCTTTCCATCAGCGAGAATCGTACGTCCAGCAGACGTAGCCTTGGTACAACGATGATTATGCATAGGATTATTTCTTAGGCTCCGTCCTAACTTTCCGACCGATTTTTTTCTAGCAATGGCGGAAGACTAGATGAGAGCTCAACTAGCATGCGGCAATGGGTCGTTAACGTAGATGGACACATGGTCAGCGAGGCCTGCACCGAAGAGTTTCTACGGGGCGGTAGCGCTCTGTGAGTGCTACCTGGTGGGCACTGCATTCTTACGTACGACAAATTTTTATAATTTTCCACAATGAAGATCATAACTTGCCTTGATGAACCCTATGGATTAATGTCATAAGGACTTTTAAACATTTTTCTCTATTTTTTTACATTGTGTGCACTGAGAGGATGTATGAGTTAACTATACAAGATCTTTAACCGGCAAGCCAAGAACAATAACATTTGACCGTCCTTTTCCATCTTCGATATTTTTACCGAGCATGTGAACGTGTTTACATCCATTGGGTTTCTGCCAGCGTGTAGCTGTAATAACGTGTCTGTATAGTTTACTGTAATAGAAGTGCTGGTGTCCCCTTTTTGATCATTAACTGTGGAACGAACCTTCAAGGTGGGAGTGAAAGATAAGTCCGAACCATGGTTTGTGAATCTCGCGAGGGTGGAAGGAGAGTGCACTGGGTGACAGCCAAATGCAGGTACACTGGTATGTTGCTTTGCAGACCAAGGGTAACGATAGCTACACGTGTGTAGGCAATCAACAAGCGTGCCAACCCACATTTCTCTCTTTATACCACTGTTTAACCCTTTCCCCCTTTTTAACGCTGTTTTAAATTTTCTCCATCTTGTTGCATTCTAGTGCTTGGTTGTACTGCCTGACTTTCCTGCTACGCTCGATCGCGGTGGTTAGAGCTTCTACATAGTCAATGTCGTTACTTCTCGCCAGGACGATCTATCTCACGAACTATGTAACGACAGCTATGTAGGGCTGGCTAGGCAGGTTAGCTGCAAAAACAGGCTATGCAGGTGTGGCTAGTCAGATTGCCTGCCAGCTGTCACTCTGATATCAATCTGACTTGTGATGAGAAAACCTACAACAATTAGAAGGTCACACTGAAGTAGGTTTTGCACATGTAATTATTAAGAAATGGTTTTATGACTCGTGTATCAGGCTATATTAATACGACTTTGAGGAATGCAACGTCGATGCTCAAAGTTATACAAATATCCCCTGATGTTGCCTTACTCGACATATAGATCTAAACTTGCATCTATTAAAGGCAACCGAGTGTGTATCGATTGCTCATAAATGAACCATGTGTTGCTAAACACTATGTTTATTGCATCAGGTGCAAATGTTCGTAAATAATTTACCGTATATATATGATACAAAGCTTTCTAGTGAAAATTACCTGCCCACACATGAAGCCACGAAAGATACACTATCAATATTTGCCTTTTGACTTTGTTGATTTTACTACTACAACCAGATGCTTTCTATACTATGGTGAGGATAAAGCCTCTAAATAGAAGGTATTTGCAATGACGACGATTTTTCATGTGAAACCGTTTGAGTTGATGATCAGGCGATGTGTGAGAGATGTCCCTTACTTGCAGTGTTATTTAGTGAGCAATTCTATTCTAATATTACAGCGGAGGAAATCATGGCTGGCTGCACATGGTACGTGTGTGTGTGCAGGCAGATGGAACCTATTGAATGGAAAATAATCTATGACAGTCTCAAGATATATCTGCGCACTAACATACATAAAATCATCGGTTGCAATGTAATTTTTAGCTTAGTCATGGTCATCGAAAGAACTCCATAATGCAAACTTGACGTGTGCATATATATATCTACAACTAGCTGTGATCAGAATTTCAATTATAATTACGTAGAGCCGGTCGCAACAACTTTATGGTGGGGTGAACTGTAATGAATGTTGGTAGGGTAAAATGTACAGTCGTATGTAGATGCATGCAAGTCACAATATACATGTGTGTGTGCGCGCGTGCGTGCATGCGCGCGCATGTGCAATGTGCATATACGTGGCACTGTGCTTGTGCGTATATGTGCGTGTACGCGAGCATACTCTCTGAGCACAAACACGCATGCACGCACGCACGCACGCACGCACGCATACCCACACACACAATGTGTGAGATTGTATCATGGTACGTCAGTTTCGGCTACAACAGGAAAATCAATATTGTCGCCTGCATACCGCAGGTAGGTGCGTGTGCGCACCTACTACAGTAGATTGTAATGTCAGGGAACCGATCCATACTTATCCGATCCATTCCGATGCAAATTGCAATGGCTAATTTGCTATAAGCATACCCCAAGCAATAAACCTCATGTCTATACCTGCTATACCTCTACTACCTGCGCACGCACAGATGTATAAGGTTATCCGCACGATCGGGAACGTGCGCATTGCCATTACACGCGCAAAGATAAGCACTACGTCACGGCAGGAACACAACCTGTCCCCATGATGCCATAAAGAACACTAGACAGAGTGCACTCACGGAGTGCATACCTCCGCCAGCGACATTATGCCGTACTACGACTGACGAACACACGAATAACCCACGATATACGCCAGCGTACTGACATGTACACGCTCCCATGTAACAGGCTGTGGCTGGCTGGCTGGCTGGCTGGTTGACTCGACGCGCTAATATCGATCGCGCGAACACAGGAACACACTAACACACAAACACACTAACACACGAACACACGAACACACGAGAGCGAAAACATAACCTCCTCCAACTCCGTTGGGCGGAGGTAACTACGAGTATGGGTGGGTAGCGAGAGGAACCGCGCGCTCCCAGCACACTGGCAGTTCCAACAAATCAGTAAAAATAAAAATGATGTATAATAAATCTTATTGCACCACTAATAACTCTCCTATCTGCAGTAAACAACTCCTCACTGCAAAAGAAAAGCCTAACGTCGGCGCGAATGCTGACTCTGCACTAAGCTGCGTACTCACCATACATAATCCATGGATTATGTACGAATCCATGGGTTATGTACGGTCCATAGGATACATCCATGGATAGGATGGATCCATACCCATGGGATTATGTATGGGGAGTAACGCAGCGTAGTGCAGAGAGTCAGCATTCGCACCGACGTTATGCTTTTCTTTTGCAGTGAGGAGTTGTTTACCGCAGATAGGAGAGTTATTAGTTGTGCAATACGATTTATTCTATATTGTTTTTATTTTTACTGATTTGTTGGAACTGCCAGTGTCCCAGCATGCCCGAGTTTACGGTGTGACTGGGCACGATCATCGTCTGACAAAATTCCCAGGTACGGTGGAGCACTACCTCGTGACGTATCTTATGAGTAATACTATTATTGTACCATAGGATACCGACAGCTAACGAGCGCTCATTCGATTTCTCTAAAGAGCCTGTGTGCGTGTGCGCTCGTGTGTGCGTGCGTGCGTATGTGTATGTGTGCGTGCGTTTGTGATAACATTTATTATATGCACTTTGATCACGAAACTGCTTGCGGCGCAGGAGCAAGAGACGTCATCACCGTTTGCTGTATATGTCTACGTGCAGCAAGTACGGCCCCTGCTCAAGGCTGTTATTGACCTTATGAAGGCCTTTGATGGACTACCTATTATATATGTACAGTACATGTATGTAATTTTGTGCACGGCTGTTTATACGCGAAGGGGATCTGTATTGTTTGTCTGATTTCATTTGGATCTTTTCTTACTGCTTCCAACTGATGTACAGTGTACCAGAACTACCATGTATGTGATACCATGTATGTTTACCAGTTGTTAGTTTTCACTCAAAGTGATTCAGAGATATATATTTAACAGTTGTTAGTCTCTATGTATTCAGATATGTATATTGAAGTTGTTAGTCTCTACCAATAGTGAGTGATTTAGAGATGTGTTCACCAGTTATTCATCTTAACTTTTATTGATTTTAACTTGTTTTTCATCTTAAATGACTTGAACTGTGATATATGCAAGGTCAAGAGAATATCAATTATTGATGAGAATAACAATAACAATTTAATTGATATTCTCTCAATTTATAGTCATACGTGGGTGTATATACGGTGTATGTTGCAAAATCAATGATATTTTCTCTCTACAATTGCTCAGAAGGCAGCCTACACCACACCTGTCACGTAGACCAGCGTGAAATTCGCAATAGTGTGTGCATGTCCCTGTGCGTGCGTGTTTGTGTGACATGCGCAAAAGTGTGTATTTTTGTATATATGCATGATCAATGGTCTGGTTTCATCTGTGGAATAGGAAAATCCCTGATATGAAGGACAAGAGCCGCAGAGCGTCTGGGCTCATCTGGGGTCTGTTGCTACGGTTATGAACGTACAATTTCAGTCGTGCGTAGTGACACATTTGTTAGGCGCAGATATGCAGATACGCAGTTGCGTACACATCATTGTTAGGACACGCTCACTAACTATCTCCCCCCCATGCGATTTTGGTTTATTTTATTAAATGATACTTGCCTTTCACTTCGAATTTGTGTCATAGATTCACAGCTATCTATTTTATCTATCTATAACAGATTTCAACATATGAGCTTGGATATGCCAGTATGAATTAGAGGGGGCGGGGGAGTCTTCTCCCCACTCCCTCCGCCACTGCGTCGCCACTCCCGTCGCCCTGCCTCCCACTTCACTCCCTTGCTGGCCTCACTTCCCACCGCCCTTACTTCCATCTCCCTCGCCCCTGCCTTCGACCTCCCTGCGCCCTCCTGCCCACCTCCATCCCCTTGCCCACCATCTCGCACGAGACCTAATTGTAGCCCCGTTTCCCGCTCGCATACACACCCGTATCACCGTTTTCCTGGTCCGCCCCCGTCTCAAGTTAATACTCTCTGCTCTCTCTTTATGCTTAGTACGCTTTTGCTCTCTCTCTCTTAATTATCATATAAAGAATTAAACCCAGCGATGATGCCTTTACTGCCGCCCTCAATAAGACTTTGTTGCGGCTTATGCCGCCTGAGTTTAACAGTTTATAGAAAATCATAACTACTATAGTGTCTGCTAATATTTTCTATGGTAACAGCTTTATGTTCGCATAACTGGTAAAGGATACGCACGGCATAGAGCTAGCATGATATATGTTAATGATTTAAGATGAAAAGTAAAATATTATATATTATATGGTACTAGTTATTATTATTCCGTTTAACAAAGTTACATGAGATAAAATCTAATTTAAACTAGGCGCTATAGTTGGCCGGCGAGATGGCGGCGTGCAAGTGTAATCAATAATCAAAGATGGATCTGCCCTCATTGCTGGAATATCCTCCTACGCGGGATTA